ATTGATTGCAAACAATACAAAATCAGCAACGAATGAAGATTTGAATTTCTGACATCTATTGAAAAACAAGAATCTGACAAGTATCAGATAGAACTGAGGTGCTGGCACCCCCATTAGATGGGACCTGTCCTCTCTAGCTCCCCAGAGTCCCCACTACTGTTTTGCACACAGCCTGCTGCTTGTATTTTCATGACTTGCCTGGCCACTGTCAACATCCGAGTTTGCAACCCTTGGGCTAGAACAGCTCTAGGCTACTGATGGATGGGGCTTAGTGGGAATGGAGCCTCACATTGTCCTCTATACTGTTCGTATTTTCTTACAATGATCAAGTGCTTAAGTTTATAAGACGAAAAAGAAAAAGCTCTAACTTGAAATTTAATAATACATACAATTTTGAAATTAATTCATTAATAATTGTATGACTTTTTTAAAAGAGTGAAATATATGGCATTTAATATAAGTAATGAGGCAGTGACTTAGTTTAGAATGCAATAAAATCTACTATTTCGTAATAAAAAGAAGAGTCTCCTAAAGTTATAACAGCTGCAATTGGGTCAATGATTATAAATTATTAAAAATCATTATTAAAATTGAATTACTAAAATTTAAGTTCTTATTAGAATTAAATAATTTAAACTGTTAAAAAGTGTTGGTTTAAGTATTTGGCATTTTCTCACATTTTATTTTTTTCTTTTCTTTTTTAATAATTAAGAAAAGAAATAGGTCTACGGCCACACCACCCTGAACGCGCCTGATCTCATCTGATCTTGGAAGCTAAGCAGGGTGGGTCCTGGTTAGTACTTGGATGGGAGAAACAGTATTTATCAAGCTTGATAGGGTCTTGTCCACCAATGACAATTAACCTAGCGAATTGTCTGCCAGGTCAGATACAACAACATATCCACAGCTGAAGGCCCTCAAGTCCCACCCAAATGAAAATAACAATCTACTGTTTCTTCAAAACAGGATCACTCACTTTTCCCTTCCCCTACCTTCCTTAGAAATGAAACTTTAATCGCATATATCACTGAATTAAGATTGAGTTGAATTGATGATGAAGCCTGAATGATAGTAAATGGAACCTGTTGAACACCAAGCTAAGATTTTACTCATGCAAAAGAGAGTGACATCGTAAAAGCCCCACTTCCTTCTAAATTGTTGGTACAACAGAGAAAGAATTGGCAATTGTCCTCTTGACTTTTTTCGGTATGAATTTAGCGGGTACAAGTGCAGTTTCACTATGTAGATATATTGCATAGTGGTGAAGTCTGGGCTTGTAACCATCACCTGAATAGTGTGCATTGTACCCATTAGGTAATTTCTCATTCCTCACCTCCTCCCACCCTCCCATGCTTCTGAGTCTCTCATGTCTGTTCTTACACACTCTATGTCCATGTGCACACATTGTTTAGCTCCCACTTCTAAGTGGCCCTCTTGACTTTGATGCTCCAGTGATTTCCCTGCACTGATGCTGGGGGCAGAGTTCAAGGTGCTCCATCATATCGATGCGAAGGGCCCTGAGTGCCGCTCTCACAGCACTTCCTCTGTGGCTGGTTAGAATGTGTGTGCTAGCACAACAGATTCGTAAGTACCCCACATTTTATATTTGGGGAGAAGAGTTGACTTTCAACACTCAGCCTAAGCCATTTTTATCAGACACCTTTTAATGTGAAAAAAAAAAAAAGTCATTCAGATAAGATCCACAAACCATTGTCTAAATGTCTTGGGGCCTGTTGTTTCTCAGAATAACTTTCTTGATTTTAGAAAGGGAATGTGATACATAATACCCCAGGGAAGCCTGGGTAATTCTCATGATCAAACAAATTAATGTGTCTGCAGTAAAGTGCAGGGATAGTCACATGAAGAGGAATAAATAAAATTATAAATGGCCCAATATCACTTCATGTTGATGCGTTTGCCACAAATTTACAAAAAAAAAAAAAAAACTTCTGGATTTCAAAACTTTGGGGATTTTAGAATTATTACACAAACAAGAGATTATTTAATATAGGATACATAACTAAGTGTTGACAAAATGAACAAAATGAAAGGAGTTAAAGTAAAGAGAATGTTGTCAAGCGGCTGAGGCTGTCCAAAAGGAGGTCACAGGAGACACAGAGGGGAAGATGCCCTGGGGACTGATTTCACCCTGGAGGGCCCAGGGTTTGGGCAAACCCCAGAGGCTGCGCTGAAAGCTGCAGATGGAGGACAAACAGCCAGCGTCCAGACAAAAAAGTAGAATCAGGAACTCAGAGTAGAACCCAGACAGGGGACTATCAGAGCAGCCAAAGTCGACCAGCCTCATTGCAGTTTGGAATCACCCCTGAGTTACTGAGAAATGCAGGATCTCAGGCTCCACCCAGACCTCCTGAATTAGAAATGAGATCAATATTCCAGATGATTTGTGCGTACCTTAAAGCAGCGGTCCCCAAGCTATGGTGAGTTGTATAATTATTTCATTATATATTACAATGTAATCATAATAGAAATAAAGTACATAATAAATATAATGCATTTGAATCATCCCAAAACCATTCCCCACCCCTCCCCAGTCCATGGAAAAATTGTCTTCCATGAAAACGGTCCCTGGTGCCAAAAAGTTTGGGGACCGCTGCCTTAAAGTTTGAAAAGCACAAAAAGAAATTACTTACAGGTTTGAAGGACATAGCTTAAGAAAAGTTGCCTCGAGGCTAATAAGAAAGGTAAGAAGCACTTAGTCTGGCCAGGCATTTCAAAGATCATGCTTCCCTCCTTCCCATTCAATAAGGGGAGAGAATTTTATTTAAAATTCTGGGTTTTCAGTTGGGCTCAGCACGGCAGAGCTTTCCAGCAGACAACTCTCCCTGCCCTTCCCACCTTCTCCCTACTTCTACCGGAGAACTCTGGCATTTACAACTATTTTATGACCGGGGCCTCCATGTAAACCTTCATTTAAAGTAAGTTTTCCATGACTTTAAAAAGTCTGAAAATCCTCCAGGGCATAAAATAGGTACATTAAAAGACAGTTTTAAAGGTAGCTAAAACAGTTTACAAGGCAAATAAAAATGAGAATGAAAAAGGAATCAAATAAAGAGGTGATAAAAGAAGTCAAAATAAAAGTTAGAGTTGGTTCCATGAGTGAATTTACTTTGTAAAAATGCACCCAGCATCGGCTTCCTGGGCTCTGGCTCCAAGCTGCAGGTTATGAAGCCCACTCCACGTGCCTCTATCTACTCCAGTTGGCTTCTTTTCTTTTTCTTTTTCTTTCATTAAATACCAATAAGTTTTTATTTATTCATTGTATTTTCCCAGGGAAAGGAGAAGGGAAGGGAAAAGAGGCAGCACATGTGCTACAAAATGATTAGAAAATGGGAAAGAAAGTGCCCAATACAGCAAAATCAACCATCAGATAAACACCCCGGGATGGGGGTCACCAAAGCCCAAGGGAGCTCAGTGTCCTGCAGTTCAGGAATCAGGGGAAGGGATCAGGAAAAAAACAGACAAGTACAGGCTTTCCTACTCTCCCTCCCCATAAATTCAAGATTTCACACAAAGCTTTGGTTTCTAGCAGTAAACGTGGAGTTACATTCGTCTGTCTCCTATTAAACAATCTTTTGGCCACTTTGACATAAGTTTCTTGCACCTGTATAAAAGTTCCTGAGTTACTTGGATATACATTCATGATCCCTTTCTTGGTCTCCTGCCCCCACTTTCTACATGGAAGGCCCCCAGTTGCTTCTCTCTACTTGAGGATTACAGATCAAGTGCCTTTGATACATCCAGAATATAGCAGTGATTCAGGTGTTTGGCGTGAATCACCACCCAGAAATGGTCTTGACTTAGGAGGTTGGGACCAAGGGATGGAGGGTTCCTAGCTTCTTCGGGATTTTTGCATAAATTATTTAATAGCTGTGGAGACACCCCAAGAATTAAATGCATATGTGTGTGGGTGTGTAGGTTTTCTTTTGGGGTGTGGGGAGAATGGGAAAGAGGGTAGGGTAGGAGACAAGTTTTTAGGATAGAAGATCTGGTCAAAGATAGGAAACAGGGGAGGGGGAACATAAAAGAAAGGTGGGGGTTCAAGATCCCCACTTCAAGAAGAGGGCCTCCCCAAACTAATGTTTCAGATCCTTTTGCCTGGCGCAAAAGCTTCTGTGACAGATGCATTGGCTATTTTTCTCTCAATAAAACCCCCAAAGCACACGAAAACCAACCCATTATATTTACACAAACTAAGCCACCTAGCAATCACCAACTCAGTAAAGTCCTACACAGCCCAGACAAATACAGTAACTCGAGGGGGCCAGCATTTAGGAAAGACAAGAGCCCGGAATCAGACACACGCCAACCAATGCGTTCTATTGCATTTGTCCCATTTCAACACAGTGAGGTAGGTTTGTGGTGATCTCACAGCATACAAACAAAACCCCCTTTTTCTCCTTTAGCTAACACCACACTGTTACTATTGCAGCAGGAGAGAACAGTGGCTCTGGGCACCAGAAAAGGCCCTCACATATGGGTCTCCCTGGAACCTAAGAACTTTGAAAGGCTAAGATTTTAGTCCTCGATTCATATATCCATCCCTCCACAGCACAGGAAGCCAGTCAGCTTCTTAGCTCCCCCAGCCAGACTCATGGCTGGCCTTGGCATGTTCAGCTATGAATAGTTTCAACCCCTAAATGCAAGAACTTCAGATCATTGTTTATGACTTCTGTAAACATTTTCAGAAGACCCATCTCTGTGTGTGTGTGTGTGTTGTTTGTGGATATATTTATTCATCTTATTCCAAGTCTATGGCACTATTGTACCATACATAACCTGAACTTGACTTTCAGCTATGGATAAATGATGTGTCCAACTAAACCATTTTATGTCTTTTCTACAGGTGACCCAGTGGATATTTTAAACTAATTTATTCATCTTCTCCTCCTGTGTATATCTCTTTCAAAGAGTTTCCCTACGTGGGTGGGTATGGGAACCTAAACGACCTCAAATCATTCTCCTCTCTTGATGTCTCCCAGCTGCAGGTAGAGCTGGAGCAAGAATACCAAGACAAGTTCAAAAGACTGCCCCTAGAGATTTTGGAGTTCGTGCAGGAAGCCATGAAAGGGAAGATCAGTGAAGACAGCAATCACGGTTCTGCCCCTCTCTCCCTGTCCTCAGACCCTGGAAAAGTGAACCACAAGCCTCCTTCCAGTGAGGAGCTGGGAGGAGACATCCCAGGAAAAGAGTTTGATACTCCTCTGTGATTGTTCCTGCCAGGCCTTCAGAAAATGCATGGCCACTCAGGCACCATTGGACTCCCTCTTATTACGAAGATCACTGCCCAAGACCATCTTCCTGAGAAGCATCCCTTAGCCTAAAATCCACACCAAAGGGAGAGTTTCGGAAGATTCCATGCAGGAGTCCCCTGCCCAGGCTCCATTTGTCATGTGGAAGCTACTGCAGGTCTACTAGTGAAGAGTGCATGTTATGTGAGATTTTTGTTTTTTTTCCAATAATAAATTGAAAGCAAGCAATTTGCAGGCTCCATGGAACATTTAATGAAGGACATGTCTTCTTTGAAGAAAATTGAGCTCATGTTTTTATTTGAAGCTCTAGTGTAAAGTATTTCAAAGTAATAGAAATAGTTTGAGAAATGCATAGCATCATTTAACACTATCGAACAGCCGACTTTGAGCATTTTTTTTCTAACTGCCCCTCAACTACCATATCTTCAGGATAACGTGCATCTTAAATGGTTTCATCCTTTGCTTTGCAAGCACTGATGGCTTGCAGTCTGCTAATTTATTTATCGTAGAGGCATCAGTGTATTTGTTGCTGACATGGTTTTATTAAATACATTAGTGATTCAAATAAGCTGGCTTTCTTTTTGGGAAAAAAAAATTAATTGTATCCTTGCTCAGTGAAGCCATCCCAAGACTTAGCAATATGGATTGTACATTCGGCTGCATGAGCAAGTTGGCTGCACACCTCCAGGCAGCGTGCCATCCGAATTGACTATTTGCACTCAAAGGCTGGGTGTTCATTGGTTGTTGGCCTGAAATGATCAAATAACTACAGAGGGTCTGTTCTGTTGAATAAAAATAGTTGAGCTGATATATGTTAAGCAGAAATTCAATCAGAGTGAACAGGTTCCAATGGTTATTTTGCTGTCTGACATTTTTTATGGTTCATTTATTTTTAATATAGAGAGGAAGATTAAATATTTATCTAGAGAATACAAAGACCCACATATAAATTATATATATTATCTCCCTGTGTATATATATGTATGCACTCAGCTGTATAAGTGCATACACACACACATACATGCAAATGTAGATGTGTGCTCATTAATTGGCAATGACCCAAATCTCTTCCACAAGACTTAAAACCAAATTCAGGGATAAATGGATAGAGAAGAAAAGGGTCAAACATCTAGATTATATGGATATTAAATTACATGGAAATACTAAGAGATAATTGATGGAGCCATTGATGTAAGTTGACATAGATTTAGAATTTAGAATATAAATTTGATTTATATTTTGCAAGATCAAAAATTGGATTTTAATATCAGATTTTAAACTTGTTTTAATGGTCAGAATATTAGGACAGTAATATGAAAATTTATTAGTATCTTCCATAATTTTTAAATCTGACAGATTTCAATTTTATTCTAACATTAAAAAAACTATCATTATATATTTATTAAGTACATTTAATTCACTTTAATGTGTCATAATTTACAAGTTCTTATTGTAGGTGGCATAAGAGAAACAAATTGTATAAAGGGGAAACTGATCAAAAACATTATTGAAAGATCTTAAATAAAAAAGAATAATTAGAGAAAAATATAATTTAGAGAGTAACACAAAGAGCATTGAAGTTAACGCCCAGAGGCAAGATGCTCACAGCTTTACTTTACTTTAAAATAAACCTGTCTGATTGTAGCTTAGCAAAATATTTTAAAATGCAAAAGCCAGTGTGTCCTGAATATTGTTTCAAGAATTTAATATTTTTATGGAAATTATTTTATTTAACTTTAAGCAATAACTAGGAATAACAATTAAATTTTAATCAAAATGAAGGCTTAGTTCAAACATTAGGAAAGAGTGTTTGATTAAAAAAACACATCTAAGGAGACACGAGGGGAAAATCACATCCTCTTTGAGATGATTATATTTTGATCTGAAGGATTTGGGGTGTTAATTAGACACTTAATAAAACTTAACTTCCATTGAAAGAGACATCTTTTGTAAATTATTCTACTTTTGCACTTTGAAAGAAAAGCATTAATCATAAAGAAGCAAGAATGGTCAAAATTGAATGCTGCATTTTTATAAACAAAATTACAGACTGTCTAAAAATTGCAGAAGAATGAACTAATAATAGCGTTCATAACCAAACACAATGGTGATTATTACAGAACATTGTATCACATTTTAGTCCAGAGATAGACTAAGGTCGAATAACCTTAACTTACACAAAACTGTTTTGGTAGTTGGATTTCATTATCTTAGTGACTCTAGTCATTTTACAATATGTTTGTATTTGGCCATTTACTGTAATCACATTTTTATATCTGTACAATGACACTTTTTGCAGTTGTGGGGTAGTATGTAACCATGTCCATCTTGCATCATTGAAACTACTACAGTGATATTATCATTTAATAATATTAATATTACTTGAAATAGACTAAGATAAAGAAAAGGGTCTATATGATGTGCGGTTTTGTGCCTTTATGTATCTGCCTTGTTCTTTGTTGAATGTGTGAGATTCTGTACTGTGGTTTTTCCTATAATAGAGAGTAGACGGTGTATTAAATTAGACTGTGTCCCTCTGATACACTACTGAGAATAGCGTGATTTTGGCCATGTAAACCAATTTTCAAAGTTCTAATGACATGCCATGTGGTTTTGGTTTTTAACATTTCATTTTAACATTTCAGTACCACCATACATTAATTAATACTCCTTTAATAGATAAGCAGTTAAATAATTCCAAAAGAAAGGGCCATTGCTTGCATTACTTTGAATTTAATGTTGCTCTTGTGCACTGTATTAATATTGTTCGTGACGGATTGAACATTGTGACTTTTGCCTTTTAAGAAGAAAAGATAGGACAAAGTATTTGAAGCTCTTAAAATGTACATATTTTGGTTCTTCTATCTCAAATTATTTAAAATGCATAATTCACATTTTTGTAATAATTCTATGCAATTTTGTGGCATGATGTTTCTTCCACTTGTAATTTTATGTGCTTTCATCACAAATCCAAAGGAAACAATAAAAATTTCTTAACACAACCCAGCTGTTGTTTCTTGGTGTCAGAGCCAACCTTCTTTTGACAGGGAGGCTGGTGGGGGTGGGCATAATGCCAGTCTTTAGGGCCATCATGCCCACCCTGACAGAGCACATCTGTGCCTGTGCAAGAAATCTGGATGCTGCCAAACATGTGCCAAAGGGCACAGTTGTCATTGCTGTCATCCCACCACCCTCCATGCAGGAGTGGCATCGCACTTGCCATTGCTTCCGTAATGGAGAACCTTCCTTCCCTTCTCCCTTCCCTCCTTTCTCTCTTTCTTCCTTTACCAAAGATATGGCAGGCAAAACAGTCAAGGGTGTTTGACGAATAGTGGAAATGGCAAGAACTGACAGAGCACTTTATGTAAATTTTCTTATAAAACAGATTTTAAAAAACAGTCTGCAACATTGACAGGAAAAGAAATATACGTGTGAGTTCTATGTGACTGTCCCAGAGGCACCCCAAATGCAGTGTGCTATTTTTTGCTGTGTTATGAATGAATCCAAAATCTTGGGGCTTAAAATAATAAGAATGATCTCTTGTCTGGCATAGCTTTCTTGCGTCAGGAATCCCAACAGGGCAGAGCAGAGATGGCTTGCCCATCTGCTGCAATGTCTGAGGCCTCAGCTGAAAGATTAGAAGGCTCGGGGCTGGAGCCCACTCCCACATCCGGTGGTTGGTGATGTGTCAGGTGGGAGACTAGCTGGGGTGCTGGGCTGGAATGAGAGCCCCGAGAGCCCTCTCTGTGGAGCCCTGGACTTTTTCACAGTATCGTAGCTGGATTCCAAGGGTGAGCCTCCTGAGAGAGCCAGACAGAAACTCTCAACATTTTTGTAACCAAGCCTTGAAGTTAGACACATCATTTATGCCAGACTCTATCCATTGGCGCTGTGACAAGCCCCTCCCCAGATTCAAGGTGAGAGAACAAGCACAGACTCCATCTCACCTTGGCAGTAGTGTTGGTCACACTGAAGAAGAACGGGAAGGATGGAATAAATATATAGGCATGGCCACTGGAAAATACAATCTGCCACATAACACTGTGCACCAAACTGAATTTGTTTTACCCTCAAAGCAGCTCCATCTCCTTTGTTTTCTACATCAGTGAACAAAACCGATTTCACGCTTCACACTCCAGCCTTACGGACCATCTCACTTTGTGGGCTTTTTAAATGATGCTTCCTTTCTGTTTCCCTTTCTCTTAACCCCTTCCCCAATGTGTGTGCGCACAGACGCGCGCGCACACACACACACACACACACACACACACACACACACACACACACATACATACACAGATTACCTAGGTTCCCTCCTTTCCCTGGCTGACTCGTGTTTATCTTCTGGTTAGTAACATAAATGTCACTTCCCCTAGGATCGTTCTTTGATCCACCCAAGCTCTATCAGGCCCCTCCTTCTGTGCTCCCATTGTAACCTGCATCCACTGTCTACTGCTGCATAACAAACAACAGAACTTAGCGTTTGAAAGAGCCACCACTTCCCCTGGGTGGCGGGTCTAGGTGGATGGATGGCTCTGCGTCTGGGCTGGGCGTGGCTCATTTGCCTGTCTGCTGTAAGCTGTGTGTTGGTGGGTGGCTGTGCTTGCTCATGTGTCTGGGATCTTGATTGGAATAACCGGGCTGAACTGACTCTGTTGCATATGATTTCGCATCCTCCAGGAGGCTAGCTTTGGCTTTTTCACATGTCAGAGACAAGATCTAAAGAACACATGAAAGTGTTCAAGGCCTCTTGAAGTCCGAACTCAGAAACATTGCTTCTGCCACATTCAATCCTTGAAAGTAAGCCAACAGGCCAGCCCAGATAAAGGATAAAAGGAGCTTCCAATGTCATAAGGGAAAGGATGTGGACACAGGGTGGTTATTAATGGCGGCCATCAAGATGGTCAATCTACCAAACACCCTGAGAATTTTTCCACATGTCCATGCCAACTCCAACGTCACAGCCCTCTTGCTACAATACATCATCCACCTCCACTGACACCTTTAATGTCAGATGTCATGTTTCATTATGGTGGAATCCCTGCACTCACCCTAATGTAACTGCTTGATAAATATTGCATTTACGGTGAATAAATTCATTTGCTCATCTAGCTATTAATGCTAAGGTAGATTAAAAATAAGCACTTGATATCAAAATAATAAATGTCATTACCTCAAAGCTACGGTATGGTGTAGGTACTCAGGAAGTACCTGAGTTAGCAACACTGTAATAGTAAGGCTGGACCATAGAGGAGCCACATTCTCTGCCTTTGACTTTTGGTACCAGCCCCAAAACACAAAACAGCTAGTGACTGAAGAAAGGAAGTCACTCAACAAATATTAGGTTCTGAGAAAGTGAGGCTCACCTTGGATCCCAGGCATACCAACCAACCAGCGTTTTTTTGCCCACAAGGGAAAACTATCCTTGCCCCTGGCATTCATGTACCATCCAGTTGTCTCAGGGAACACTCTGGATATTCATTTTTCTTAATAACAGCTTTATTGAGCTATAATTTATGTACTATAAAGAATACCATTTTAAAAGGAGAGATCCAGTTTTGTTTCTTTTCTAAGTGGCTAATCAATTGTC